ATGACGACGAGGCTGCCAAAGTGCGATCAGCCTCATCATCATCAATTAGGGTCTCCGCCTCACTACTAGCCCCCTCGGCTTCGTGTGGGTCAGGAGACAGACCTGTCTCTAGACCGGCTACAATTCTGTGTCGAGCCACTCTCCTCGCCAGTACTTATAACTTCTTTGCCTGGCTGCTGAAGAGGTCCGGATGTCTCCCCCCGTTCCTGATCGCCCTCTGTTAGCTCTTCCTCACTGTACAGTGGGGCTGAGCCCACTCAGCATGTGATACTTTGCTTGGTGAGGGAACACCAAAGGACAGGGGCAGGTAGAGGACACGTGATTTCAGTGGGCTTGCTCCCGGGCCATGCCAACTAACGGTTGTGTCTGAAGTACCCACCCGACCGTTTGGCTGTAGGTGTCAGAGGTGTGACAATGGGAAGAGGAAGACGACCGAGCTGTGTCCAACCAATCGATGACGGCCCTGAGGGTGGTTGTCGGTGGAGAACACGACCGCTGGATGACACCGGGAGCACTGGCCTGAGTAACAATCTGGCTGCGTACTAGTGCTGCTAACAATTCTCGACCCCTTCCTCTGCTGTCCACGTCTGCTCGCTCCTGAAACATTGCCCCCTCTGCCAATCCTCCCTGCGTGTGTAGTCTGACATACTCTTTAATTCTATAAGCACCCCCCAAAAATAACGTAACGATTCTGTGTCCCTCAGTAACAATTCTGTGTCCCTGAGTAACAAATTCTGTGTCCCTGAGTAACAATTCTGTGTCCCTGAGTAACAATTCTGTGTCTGTCCCTGAGTAACAATTCTGTGTCCCCTCAGTAACAATTCTGTGTCCCTGTGAGTAACAATTCTGTGTCTGTCCCTGAGTAACAATGAGTAACAATTCTGTGTCTGTCCCATGAGTAACAATTCTGTGTCCCTGAGTAACAAATTCTGTGTCCCTGAGTAACAATTCTGTGTCTGTCCCTGAGTAACAATTCTGTGTCCCTGAGTAACAATTCTGTGTCCCTGAGTAACAATTCTGTGTCCCTCAGTAACAATCCCTGTGTCCCACTGAGTAACAATTCTGTGTCCCTCAGTAAATCAATTTGTCTGTGTCCCTGAGTAACAATTCTGTGTCTGTCCCTGAGTAACAATTTCTGTGTCCCTCAGTAACAATTCTGTGTCCCTTGCAGTAACAATTTCTGTGTCCCCTGAGTAACAATTCTGTGTCCTGAGTAACAATTCTGTGTCCCTCTGAGTAACAATTCTGTGTCCCTCGAGTAACAATTCTGTGTCCTGAGTAAACAATTCTGTGTCCCTGAGTAACAATTCTGTGTCCCTGAGTAACAATTCTGTGTCCCACTGAGTAACAATTCTGTGTCCCCTGAGTAACAATTCTGTGTCCCTGAGTAACAATTCTGTGTCCCTGAGTAACAATTCTGTGTCCCCTGAGTAACAATTCTGTGTCTGTCCCTGAGTAAAGTAACAATTCTGTGTCCCTCCCTGAGTAACAATTCTGTGTCCCTGAGTAACAATTCTGTGTGTCCCTGAGTAACAATTCTGTGTCTGTCCCTGGTAGTAACAATTCTGTGTGTCCCTGAGTAACAATTTCTGTGTCTTTGTCCCTGAGTAACAATTCTGTGTCCCCTGAGTAACAATTCTGTGTCTGTCCTGAGTAACAATTCTGTGTCCCTCAGTAAACAATTCTGTGTCCCTGAGTAACAATTCTGTGTCCCTGAGTAACAATTCTGTGTCTGTCCCTGAGTAACAATTCTGTGTCTGTTCTGTGTCCCTGAGTAACAATTCTGTGTCTGTCCCTGAGTAACAATTCTGTGTCCCTGAGTAACATATTCTGTGTCCCTGAGTAACAATTCTGTGTCTGAGTAACAATTCTGTGTCCCTGAGTAACAATTCTGTGTCCCTGAGTAACAATTCTGTGTCTGTCCCTGAGTAACAATTCTGTGTCCCTGAGTAACAATTCTGTGTCCCTGAGTAACAATTCTGTGTCCTCTGAGTAACAATTCTGTGTCCCTGAGTAACAATTCTGTGTCCTCTGAGTAACAATTCTGTGTCCCTGAGTAACAATTCTGTGTCCCTGAGTAACAATTCTGTGTCCCTCAGTAACAATTCTGTGTCCCTGAGTAACAATTCTGTGTCCCTGAGTAACAATTCTGTGTCTGTCCCTGAGTAACAATTCTGTGTGTCCCTGAGTAACAATTCTGTGTCCCTGAGTAACAATTCTGTGTCTGTCCTGAGTAACAATTCTGTGTCCCTGAGTAACAATTCTGTGTCCCTGAGTAACAATTCTGTGTCTGTCCCTCAAGTAACAATTCTGTGTCCCTGTAGTAACAATTCTGTGTCCCTGAGTAACAATTCTGTGTCCCTGAGTAACAATTCTGTGTCTGTCCCTGAGTAACAATTCTGTGTCCCTGAGTAACAATTCTGTGTCTGTCCCTGAGTAACAATTCTGTGTCTGTCCCTGAGTAACAATTCTGTGTCCCTGAGTAAACAATTCTGTGTCTGTCCCTCAGTAACAATTCTGTGTCAATTCTGTCCCTGTAACCTGTGTCCCTGAGTAACAATTCTGTGTCCCTGATTCTGTGTCCCTGAGTAACAATTCTGTGTCTGTCCCTCAGTAACAATTCTGTGTCCCTGAGTAACAATTCTGTGTCCCTGAGTAACAATTCTGTGTCTGTCCTGAGTAACAATATTCTGTGTCTGTCCCTGAGTAACAATTCTGTGTCCCTAACTGAGTAACAGTTCTATCTGTGTCTGTCCCTGTCAGGGCTCCCAGGTGTGACCAGAGATGTGTGACTGACGCAGGGAAACGCAGACCTCAGATATGTTATAAACAATATAATTTATTAACACTAACAATACAAACATAAACGCAGTGCAATACTAAAACATAATACAGTGCAAACAAACCAAACCAAAACCACCCACAGATAACAGTACATACAAGCAAGCGTCGTCAGGCAGGCCGGGTCAATATCAATAGGGCAGGTAGGTACAGGGGGAGCCAGGTTCAAGCGGAGATTGGTCAGGGTCACAAGAAAGGGATCAGAACAGGTAGCAAGCAGCGTGGTACAGAGGGTCAGACAGAGGGATGGGTCAGGAGCGAGCGGGATCAGAGCAGGAGAAGTCAGCAGCGGTTCAGAAACAGGATGCAGGACAGAAACAGGATACAGGGCCCAGGACAAACACACACCAAGGCAGAGTCTGTGGGTCTGGCCATCCCTTAAATACCCCAGCATAATCAGTTACAGGTGTTAGCTGGCTGCAAAGTTGAGTCTCTGATTGCTGGGAACACCCGCTTGGCCAGCCCTAGTACTGCAGATCAAAAGGCAGGTGAGTCCCACCATAGCTGGCCAGTCCATTCCTGACAGTACCCCCCCCCTCAAGGAGCGGCCTCAGGACGCTCCAAACAGTCCTAGCTGGGAAAAAAATGTTCCACCGCCCGGGTCACTGGTAACTGGCTGGTAAAGACCCGCGGGATATCAAAGACTGGCACACCGGGCAGGATTCCGGGCAGCGGTACATCGGGCTGGACTCCGGGCAGAGGCACATCGGGCTGGACTCCGGGCAGAGGCACATCGGGCTGGACTCCGGGCAGAGGCACACCAGGGCAGAGGCACACCGGGCAGAGGCACACCGGGCTGGACTCCGGGCAGAGGCACATCGGGCTGGACTCCGGGCAGAGGCACATCGGGCAGAGGCACATCGGGCCGGACTCCGGGCAGAGGCACATCGGGCCGGACTCCGGGCAGAGGCACATCGGGCCGGACTCCGGGCAGAGGCACATCGGGCCGGACTCCGGGGCAGAGGCACATCGGGCCGGACTCCGGGCAGAGGCACATCGGGCCGGACTCCGGGCAGAGGCACATCGGGCCGGACTCCGGGCAGAGGCACATCGGGCAGCGACTCCGGGCAGAGGCACATCGGGCAGGACTCCGGGCAGAGGCACATCGGGCAGGACCCCGGGCAGAGGCACATCGGGCAGGGACCCCGGGCAGAGGCACATCGGGCTACCGGGCAGGCGAAGCAGCAGGGCAGCGGGCCACCAGGCGGAGCGACAGGCACCGGGCCCCCGGGCGGGGCGACAGGCATCGGACCCCCGGGCGGGGCGACAGGCATCGGGGCCCCCAGGCGGGGGCGACAGGCCTCGGACCCCCAGGCGGGGCACAGGCCTCGGCGGCGGGGCGGCGGGCGGACCCCCAGGCGGAACTACAGGTCTCGGGCCCCCAGGCGGAGCAACAGGCATCGGGACCCCCAGGCGGGGCGACAGGCATCGGACCCCCAGGCGGGGCGACGGGCATCGGGCCCCCAGGCGGGGCGACGGGCATCGGGCCCCCAGGCGGGGCGACAGGCCCGGACCCCCAGGCGGGGCGGCGGGCGCCGGACCCCCAGGCGGAAACTACAGGTCTCGGGCCCTCAGGCGGAGCCAACAGGCATCGGGGACCCCAGGCGGGGCGACAGGCATCGGACCCCCAGGCGGGCGACGGGCATCGGGCCCCCAGGCGGGGCAACGGGCATCGGGCCCCCAGGCGGGGCGGCGGCGCGCCGGGCCCCCAGGCGGAGCGGCGGGCGCCGGACCCCCAGGCGGAGCGGCGGGCGCCGGACCCCCAGGCGGAGCTACAGGTCTCGGGCCCTCAGGCGGAGCGGAGCGGGGGCGCGGACCCCCAGATGGAGCGGACAGGTCTCGGGCCCTCAGGCGGAGCAACAGGTCTCTCGGGCCCCCAGACGAAGCGGCGGCACCGAGTCACCAGGCACGACAGTGGGCACCGAGTCGTCTGGCAAGACTGCGGGCACCGAGTCAACTGGCGGAAGACAGCGGGCATCGAGTCAACTGGCGGAAACAGCGGGCACCGAGTCGTCTGGCAAGACTGCGGGCACCGAGTCGTCTGGCAAGACTGCGGGCACCGAGTCGTCTGGCAAGACTGCGGGCACCGAGTCGTCTGGCAAGACTGCGGGCACCGAGTCGTCTGGCAAGACTGCGGGCACCGACGTGGGCAAGACTGCGGGCACCGAGTCAACTGGCGGAACAGCAGGCACCGAGTCGCCTGGCAAGACTGCGGGCACCGAGTCGCTGGCAAGACTGCGGGCACCGAGTCGTCTGGCAAGACTGCGGGCACCGAGTCGTCTGGCAAGACTGCGGGCACCGAGTCGTCTGGCAAGACTGCGGGCATCGAGTCGTCTGGCAAGACTGCGGGCATCGAGTCATCTGGCAAGACAGTGGGCTCCGAGTCAACAGGCACGACAGTGGGCACCGGGTCATCAGGTATCGGATTGTCTGGCTCGACAGCGGGCATCAGGTCACCAGGTATGACAGCGGGCACTGGGTCACCAGGCATCAGGTCATTTGGCTTGCCAGCGGGCACCGCGTCATCTGGCAAGGCAGTGGGCACCGGGTCACCAGGTATGACAGCGGGCTCTGAGTCAATTGGCACGACAGCGGGCACTGGATCAGGTACCGGATCATCTGGATCATCAACAGCGGGCATCGAGTCAACTGGCCTAATAGGATCGTCGGGCTGGATCAGTTCATCATGCTGAGTAGCGGCATCAGGCTGAATGCAGGGCATCAGGCTGAGGAGAGGCATCAGGCTGAGGAGAGGCTTCAGGCTGAGGAGAGGCTTCAGGCTGAGGAGAGGCTTCAGGCTGAGGAGAGGCATCCGGCTGAGTAGAGGCTTCAGGCTGAGGCTCACGGAAGTCAGGTTCACCGGTTTGGATACTGGCAGGATGGTATTGGTTGGAAAGAATTTTCGCTTTTTTTTCTGGTTTTAACTACTGGAGCACTGCAAGTAAACGCAGGTCTGCAAACGAATGGAGCAGCTGGAGACAGAGAAAAAACTGGAGGATGGAACAGGAGAGGGAGCAGTTGCTACAGAGGGCTTTTTTTACAGGGTTAAAGGCAGGATAGGTGCAGCGAGTGGGAACAGGGTACTGACATGCGGTAGATAGCCAAGTATACTGGGCTGTAACTGGAGGAGCTGGTGGGAATACAGGAGTAGAGTTAGAAGCAGGACTGGGTTTTTGTAAGCTGACTGAGGCTGGGTGCAACAAGTCTGTCCATGTCTGCAGTAGGGGTTGAACAAAGCTGAGCTTACACAAAGCCTGTCTGGTCAATGACTGCACTGCGTTTATACAATCTCTTAGTGTCTGTGGTGAACATGTGGAATAACGCTCCAGAAAGTAACCCACATCATCCTCTAATAACCACACCAGGGACTCAACCTGGTCTGCACTAAATGGTGGCAAAAATTCATCCCTGCATTCGGGGGAACCAGATGAAACCAACTCAACACAAACCTGAATCAATGGCTGCACCATAGAGAAATCTGTGCCCTGATCTACTAGAACATGAGCGAGCCGTATACATTCTAGCAGTTCATCCCGGGGATACTCCTTCAGAGTCTGATAAGCATACTCTCTGTCATCAAGCACTAGCAGAGATAAATACTCAACCTCATCCAGATCCATCCTTCCCATCAACAAGCCAAGATGGCTTCCCTGTGCAGCCACTTCTGGTCAGGATTGGCCTTGGTGTAATGTCAGGGCTCCCAGGTGTGACCAGAGATGTGTGACTGACGCAGGGAAACGCAGACCTCAGATATGTTATAAACAATATAATTTATTAACACTAACAATACAAACATAAATGCAGTGCAATACTAAAACATTATACAGTGCAAACAAACCAAACCAAACCACCACACAGATAACAGTACATACAAGCAAGCGTCGTCAGGCAGGCCGGGTCAATATCAATAGGGCAGGTAGGTACAGGGGGAGCAAGCGGAGATTGGTCAGGGTCACAAGCCAGGGATCAGAACAGGTAGCAAGCAGCGTGGTACAGAGGGTCAGACAGAGGGATGGTCAGGAGCGAGCCGGGATCAGAGCAGGAGAAGTCAGCAGCGGTTCAGAAACAGGATGCAGGACAGAAACAGGATACAGGGCCCAGGACAAACACACACCAAGGCAGAGTCTGTGGGTCTGGCTATCCCTTAAATACCCCAGCATAATCAGTTACAGGTGTTAGCTGGCTGCAAAGTTGAGTCTCTGATTGCTGGGAACACCCGCTGGCCAGCCCTAGTACTGCAGATCAAAAGGCAGGTGAGTCCCACCATAGCTGGCCAGTCCATTCCTGACAGTCCCTGAGTAACAATTCTGTGTCCCTGAGTAACAATTCTGTGTCTGTCCCTGAGTAACAATTCTGTGTCCCTCAGTAACAATTCTGTGTCCCTGAGTAACAATTCTGTGTCTGTCCCTGAGTAACAATTCTGTGTCCCTGAGTAACAATTCTGTGTCTGTCCCTGAGTAACAATTCTGTGTCCCTGAGTAACAATTCTGTGTCTGTCCCTGAGTAACAATTCTGTGTCCCCTGAGTAACAATTCTGTGTCCCTGAGTAACAATTCTGTGTCTGTCCCTGAGTAACAATTCTGGTGTCCCACAGTAACAATTCTGTGTCCCTGAGTAACAATTCTGTGTCCCTGAGTAACAATTCTGTGTCCCTGAGTAACAATTCTGTGTCTGTCCCTGAGTAACAATTCTGTGTCTGTCCTGAGTAACAATTCTGTGTCCCTGAGTAACAATTCTGTGTCTGTCCCTGAGTAACAATTCTGTGTCTGTCCCTGAGTAACAATTCTGTGTCCCTGAGTAACAATTCTGTGTCCCTGAGTAACAATTCTGTGTCCCTGAGTAACAAATTCTGTGTCTGTCCCTGAGTAACAATTCTGTGTCCCTCAGTAACAATTCTGTGTCCCTGAGTAACAATTCTGTGTCCCTGAGTAACAATTCTGTGTCTGTCCCTGAGTAACAATGTGTCCCTGAGTAACAATTCTGTGTCCCTGAGTAACAATTCTGTGTCCCTAAGTAACGATTCTGTGGCCCTAAAGTCTCTTTGGCCCTAACTCTGTCTTTAATACAGAGAGGTCTGTCTCTCTTGAATGACCGGAGGCTAATGGAGAATTCTAAGATGGCCGCAATTTATAGCTCGACCATTACACAGTGCTGGCTGGCTGGCTGCTGATTGGCTAATGCGATCACATGTCATGAATGAATGCATTATGGGTCAGCGCGCCTTGTCTGCGCGCCTTCCCAGAGATCCCCGCTCCGTCGCCACACACATGTCGCCGCCATTTTTGGAAAAATTCGATTCGCGCATCCGAAGTCTGCTAATTTTCGGATTCGGCGCGAATGGAATTTTTCTAATCTTCGAAAACGAATTCCACTTCGCCAAGTTCGATTCGCTCATCTCTACTTATAACCATTCCTTACTCTATCTAAAATGAAAAAAAAAAGTTTGGGCTTTAACATATATTTCAAATTAAACCTTCCATGGAAAAAATATTGGAGCTGTTTTCACTGGCTTTTAAAAAGTTGCTAGTTCCTCTCTCAAAACTTCAAGCTTTAAGTCACCTAAACAGCAGCTTTTTTGTGGAAAAAAAATTACTTTTTGCCATCGGTAAACCACAGCATAGACCCCCAACAGAAAAACAATTTGACACCCCAGTTCATGTGTAATAAACTGGAAGGAGGGTGGGGGGTGCAATTTGACATCTTTGCCCTGGGCACTGGACAACTTTGTCCTGGCAATACTTGCCACATTATAAAAACCCAGAGAGCAGGATAGGGGAGCATAGGATGGGAAGGATAGGTGCAGTACAGAGGAGGTGTTGGAGGAGAGCAGAGAGCAGTATAGAGAAGCATAGGATGAGGAGGAAAGGTGCAGTACAGAGGAGAGGATGGAGGAGAGAAGAAAGCTGTATAGGGAAGCATAGGATGAGGAGGGGAGAGCTGCAGCACAGAGGAGAGGATGGAGGAGAGCAGAGAGCAGTATAGGGGAGAATAGGATGAGGCGGTAAGGTGCAGTACAGAGGAGAGGGTGGAGGAGAGCAGAGAGCTGTATAAGGTAGCATAGGATGAGGAGGAGAGGTGCAGTACAGAGGAGAGGGTGAGGAGAGCAGAGAGCTGTATAAGGTAGCATAGGATGAGGAGGAGAGGTGCAGTAAAGAGGAGAGAATGGAGGAGAGCAGAGAGCAGTATAGGGAAGCATAGGATGAGGAGGAGAGGTGCAGTAAAGAGGAGAGAATGGAGGAGAGCAGAGAGCAGTATAGGGAAGCATAGGATGAAGAGGAGAGGTGCAGTACAGAGAAGAGGATGGAGAAAAGCAGAGAGCTGTATAAGGTAGCATAGGATGAGAAGGAGAGGTGCAGTACAGAGGAGAGGATGGAGGACAGCAGAGAGCAGTAGAGGGGAGCATGGATGAGGCGGTAAGGTGCAGTACAGAGGAGAGGGTGGAGGAGAGCAGAGAGCTGTATAAGATAGCATAGGATGAGGAGGAGAGGTGCAGTAAAGAGAGGATGGAGGAGAGCAGAGAGCAGTATAGGGGAGCTCAGCATGAGGAGATAAGGTGCAGTACAGAGGAGAGGATGGAGGAGAGCAGAGAGCAGTATAGGGAAGCATAGGATGAAGAGGAGAGGTGCAGTACAGAGGAGGTGATGGAGGAGAACAGGGAAGTATATTAGGATGAGAAGGAGAGATGCAGGACAAAGGAGATGATGGAGGAGAACAGGGAAGCATAGGATGAAGAGGAGAGGTGCAGCACAGAGGAGAGGATGGAGGAGAGCAGAGAGCAGTATAGGGAAGCATAGGATGAGGAGGAGAGGTGCAGTACAGAGGAGAGGATGGAGGAGAGCAGAGAGCAGTGTAGGGAAGCATAGGATGAGGAGGAGAGGTGCAGTACAGAGGAGAGGATGGAGTAGAGCAGAGAGCAGTATAGGGGAGCTCAGCATGAGGAGATAAGGTGCAGTACAGAGGAGAGGATGGAGGAGAGTAGAGAGCAATATAGGGAAGCATAGGATAAAGAGGAGAGGTGCAGTACAGAGGAGATGATGGAGAAGAGCAAATATCAGTATAGGGGAGCATAGGATGAGGAGGAGAGGTGCAGAGAAGATGGCAGAGGAAGGGAAAACAATGATGTGTGGAGAGGATTGCTGGAGGCAGACAAGAGCATTATAAGGAAATGCTGAAGGCAGAGGAGCAGTACAGGTGAACTTTAAAGAAGGGTGAGAGGAGTAATGCAGAGGAAGGGCTCAGGAGTTTTCTATATTTTTATCTTTTTATTTGTGTTGGTGTTTCAGTGGGCACAACTGGAAAGGATAGCAATGTGATAATCCAGAAACCAGCACAGCCATACTAACTCACTGTTCTTCTTTCTCTACTTTGGCTATAAAAAAACTTCCTTCTTAATAATTACACATTTAGAGCATGGTCATGCTAATATATGTCACCCTTTTTTGTAGACTCAGAGTTCTTCTGCAAATTTAATTAGTGTATTTAGATTTTTGTAGCAGTAATTTATTCAAGTGTATGTAAATCTTGCATGTAAAAAAGGAACTGTTAAGACACTTCAGGTTTTTCCATTTTTAGTCCTGTTGAGGAGATTTTCCCTCACTTCCTGTCCTGGAGACACAGCAGGAAGCAAGATGAAATAAAGGGAAATTTTCTTAAA